TATCTCTTTCTCTTCCATCACCGGCGCAAGGGACAATACGACCAAATTCTACCTTGGTTGGTCAATCACCACAGTAGTTGGGCTCCATCCCTTTGCACACCGACCTCGGACAGCGCCACGAGCGCCTCTTCCTCTGCAGCTGCTTAGGCCAGCACCACCGCCGTGCTCCTTCTCTGGATGGAAGGGACGGAACGGGAAGCAACCCCTCCTCTGGATCTAGATCAAGCGAGGGTGGGAAAAGGAAAGGAAGATATGGATACCTACGAACAAAAAATCTGGATGGGAGCGATCGTGGGAAGGATATATAGAGAAACTCGAAATACGAGGAGAGGAGTTTCCTTTTATTTCCTCCGTGTGAAGGTGGGATGAAACGATGCAAACGTACCACCCGATCATCACCAACGATTATAGGAAAGTTGTGAATGTGATGCGGAATGACGACGCAAAACGTTATGAATATAGATTGATTAGATTACATAGTTACATTAGGAAAGCGTGGTGAGGGATTGATGATTTTTTTCCACTGTTATTTGCCCACCGGTTTTGCAGCGGAGATGAAAAAAAATCGGTGGGGAGGCTAACGAGACGAAATGACAACGGACTCTCCCATTAGGAGTAGAGATTCAGAAGGTGGATGGTTTGCATTTGTTACGATAGTATAATTGTTGATTCCGTTGGCCTGCTAGTTTTCTATGACTTTGCATCTCCAAACTTTGAAGAATGGACCTGAGATGATCTTTTTGTGTCTTTGCCTTTTAACAATTGGATGGTACATTTTGGATGCATGAAAGCCAGCCATTCTTAGATTTTTAATTAGCCTCATATTTACATGTGTTACGATCAGATGGTAGACTTGACTTAGACTTGCAATGCGCTATACTGATGAATGATGTGCACTTGTTTATCTTGTTTTTGTAGGATTACTTGGAGACCTGGTGAGATGGATGGTGGTGCTGTCTTTTGCCGATGCCGATACATGATGATTCAAGGCCTGTGTCTTGAGAGCCTGATGGCCTTGTATCAACTTAATGCGCCTTTTGCGTATGCAGTATTCTGGAACTTTACACCTACTTGAACCTCCTTGAACCATTATTCTGGTTGTCGATTGCTTGTCACTTAAGATGGTTAATGATCAGGTTATGAACAGCATGGTAATTCGAAGTTGTAAGCCTTGTTGCTGCTGGTTTGGTGCATACTGTATTGCTGGGTTGATAACTTGATATCTGTCTAGTATTACAGCTGCTAGTTAATTCTTGTTTAGGATTTTTTTTGCCAACGATCTGCATGCATGGATCTTGTGTGGTTATTTTGCCTGCTGCTCCCTGGTGCTGTCTATCCTCAGCCTTGCAAATCAATGCAGCGAAAAAGCCCAAGCTGAGCCTAACTGCCTAAGCCTCGTATTGTGTAGCACTATCAAGCTGCGCTAGTCTGCTTCGACTCAAATCCACCCCCGTCGACTGATTTTCTCATATGATAGGTATGGTTGGCGTCGACTGATTTTCTCATATGATAGGTATGGTTGGCGGCTTATTGCAATGATCTCAGCATCATGTGCTAAGTATTCTTTTCAAAAGCGATGTTCAAGTGTTCAGTTCAATAAATATAATACATTCAG